ACCCGTACAGACACCCTCGTCCTGACCAATCACCCCAGACCCGTACAGACACCCTCGTCCTGACCAATCACCCCAGACCCGTACAGACACCCTCGTCCTGACCAATCACCCCAGACCCGTACAGACACCCTCGTCCTGACCAATCACCCCAGACCCGTACAGACACCCTCGTCCTGACCAATCACCCCAGACCCGTACAGACACCCTCGTCCTGACCAATCACCCCAGACCCGTACAGACACCCTCGTCCTGACCAATCACCCCAGACCCGTACAGACACCCTCGTCCTGACCAATCACCCCAGACCCGTACAGACACCCTCGTCCTGACCAATCACCCCAGACCCGTACAGACACCCTCGTCCTGACCAATCACCCCAGACCCGTACAGACACCCTCGTCCTGACCAATCACCCCAGACCCGTACAGACACCCTCGTCCTGACCAATCACCCCAGACCCGTACAGACACCCTCGTCCTGACCAATCACCCCAGACCCGTACAGACACCCTCGTCCTGACCAATCACCCCAGACCCGTACAGACACCCTCGTCCTGACCAATCACCCCAGACCCGTACAGACACCCTCGTCCTGACCAATCACCCCAGACCCGTACAGACACCCTCGTCCTGACCAATCACCCCAGACCCGTACAGACACCCTCGTCCTGACCAATCACCCCAGACCCGTACAGACACCCTCGTCCTGACCAATCACCCCAGACCCGTACAGACACCCTCGTCCTGACCAATCACCCCAGACCCGTACAGACACCCTCGTCCTGACCAATCACCCCAGACCCGTACAGACACCCTCGTCCTGACCAATCACCCCAGACCCGTACAGACACCCTCGTCCTGACCAATCACCCCAGACCCGTACAGACACCCTCGTCCTGACCAATCACCCCAGACCCGTACAGACACCCTCGTCCTGACCAATCACCCCAGACCCGTACAGACACCCTCGTCCTGACCAATCACCCCAGACCCGTACAGACACCCTCGTCCTGACCAATCACCCCAGACCCGTACAGACACCCTCGTCCTGACCAATCACCCCAGACCCGTACAGACACCCTCGTCCTGACCAATCACCCCAGACCCGTACAGACACCCTCGTCCTGACCAATCACCCCAGACCCGTACAGACACCCTCGTCCTGACCAATCACCCCAGACCCGTACAGACACCCTCGTCCTGACCAATCACCCCAGACCCGTACAGACACCCTCGTCCTGACCAATCACCCCAGACCCGTACAGACACCCTCGTCCTGACCAATCACCCCAGACCCGTACAGACACCCTCGTCCTGACCAATCACCCCAGACCCGTACAGACACCCTCGTCCTGACCAATCACCCCAGACCCGTACAGACACCCTCGTCCTGACCAATCACCCCAGACCCGTACAGACACCCTCGTCCTGACCAATCACCCCAGACCCGTACAGACACCCTCGTCCTGACCAATCACCCCAGACCCGTACAGACACCCTCGTCCTGACCAATCACCCCAGACCCGTACAGACACCCTCGTCCTGACCAATCACCCCAGACCCGTACAGACACCCTCGTCCTGACCAATCACCCCAGACCCGTACAGACACCCTCGTCCTGACCAATCACCCCAGACCCGTACAGACACCCTCGTCCTGACCAATCACCCCAGACCCGTACAGACACCCTCGTCCTGACCAATCACCCCAGACCCGTACAGACACCCTCGTCCTGACCAATCACCCCAGACCCGTACAGACACCCTCGTCCTGACCAATCACCCCAGACCCGTACAGACACCCTCGTCCTGACCAATCACCCCAGACCCGTACAGACACCCTCGTCCTGACCAATCACCCCAGACCCGTACAGACACCCTCGTCCTGACCAATCACCCCAGACCCGTACAGACACCCTCGTCCTGACCAATCACCCCAGACCCGTACAGACACCCTCGTCCTGACCAATCACCCCAGACCCGTACAGACACCCTCGTCCTGACCAATCACCCCAGACCCGTACAGACACCCTCGTCCTGACCAATCACCCCAGACCCGTACAGACACCCTCGTCCTGACCAATCACCCCAGACCCGTACAGACACCCTCGTCCTGACCAATCACCCCAGACCCGTACAGACACCCTCGTCCTGACCAATCACCCCAGACCCGTACAGACACCCTCGTCCTGACCAATCACCCCAGACCCGTACAGACACCCTCGTCCTGACCAATCACCCCAGACCCGTACAGACACCCTCGTCCTGACCAATCACCCCAGACCCGTACAGACACCCTCGTCCTGACCAATCACCCCAGACCCGTACAGACACCCTCGTCCTGACCAATCACCCCAGACCCGTACAGACACCCTCGTCCTGACCAATCACCCCAGACCCGTACAGACACCCTCGTCCTGACCAATCACCCCAGACCCGTACAGACACCCTCGTCCTGACCAATCACCCCAGACCCGTACAGACACCCTCGTCCTGACCAATCACCCCAGACCCGTACAGACACCCTCGTCCTGACCAATCACCCCAGACCCGTACAGACACCCTCGTCCTGACCAATCACCCCAGACCCGTACAGACACCCTCGTCCTGACCAATCACCCCAGACCCGTACAGACACCCTCGTCCTGACCAATCACCCCAGACCCGTACAGACACCCTCGTCCTGACCAATCACCCCAGACCCGTACAGACACCCTCGTCCTGACCAATCACCCCAGACCCGTACAGACACCCTCGTCCTGACCAATCACCCCAGACCCGTACAGACACCCTCGTCCTGACCAATCACCCCAGACCCGTACAGACACCCTCGTCCTGACCAATCACCCCAGACCCGTACAGACACCCTCGTCCTGACCAATCACCCCAGACCCGTACAGACACCCTCGTCCTGACCAATCACCCCAGACCCGTACAGACACCCTCGTCCTGACCAATCACCCCAGACCCGTACAGACACCCTCGTCCTGACCAATCACCCCAGACCCGTACAGACACCCTCGTCCTGACCAATCACCCCAGACCCGTACAGACACCCTCGTCCTGACCAATCACCCCAGACCCGTACAGACACCCTCGTCCTGACCAATCACCCCAGACCCGTACAGACACCCTCGTCCTGACCAATCACCCCAGACCCGTACAGACACCCTCAACCTGACCAATCAACCCAGACCCGTACAGACACCCTCAACCTGACCAATCACCCAAGACCCGTACAGACACCCTCGTCCTGACCAATCACCCCAGACCCGTACAGGCACCCTCAACCTGACCAATCACCCCAGACCCGTACGGACACCCTCAACCTGACCAATCAACCCACACCCGTACAGACACCCTCAACCTGACCAATCAACCCAGACCCGTACAGACACCCTCGTCCTGACCAATCACCCCAGACCCGTACAGACACCCTCGTCCTGACCAATCACCCCAGACCCATACAGACACCTTCAACCTGACCAATCACCCCAGACCCATACAGACACCCTCAACCTGACCAATCACCCCAGACCCGTACAGACACCCTCAACCTGACCAATCAACCCAGACCCATACAGACACCCTCAACCTGACCAATCAACCCAGACCCATACAGACACCCTCAACCTGACCAATGAGAGAAGAGAAGTGATTGCCTGGAAGGGTTCTCCCCATGGATCACTATGGAGTCTTCCAATGTGGAGGACCCCCAGACATTGCTCAGCTGTGAATAGAATGACACAAGTCTCATCCATCTCCTCCTCTGATTTTAGGCTGAGGTCATTCTCATCCACTGCCCCCGCACAGTACAATGGCTCCCAATATGCCAACCTACATGGTGGTATTGAGATGCCCTTCCTCTCTTTGGACACAAGTCTGTATTGAGGGTTCCTTCCTCCGGGCAGTCCTCCCACACGCGGCATGATCTGGGGTTGTTTCTGACCTCAGAGGGGCTTCTCCTTCCATAAAAGGGCAGTATTAAGGGGGGAGGTAATGATGGCGGTCCCTTCATTCCATATGTGTCTCACACCCCCATGGGCTCAGCAGATGCCATCATGGCGGCACGCTTTGTGTTGATTGGCCAGCGAGAACCCCACATCTCAAATGGGGGAACCAAGTCTTATGAACCAGTCAAAAGGTCCTGGCAGGAGGTCTCGGTGTACAGTGAAGGTTCCTGGGGCCCCTTCAAAAGGTAACATCCCATGGGGGACAATGTAGGCTATGAGAAGAGCCGATACGTTAGAATTCCAAGGTGAAGGACCCCCAGGTGTCGCTTTGATGTGACTGAATGACAAGTCCCATTCATCACTCCCTCTCATCCTACGTTGGAGGATCATTCTCACCCCCCGCGGTACGATGGGCAGGAAATGGCCCCCAATAAATCGCCAAGATATGTGGACCAAGCCAGAGGAGCAATTTCCCTTAATAGGCTCACAATGCAAATGTGAAAACTCCGCCCACACAGGAAAACAAAAACATCATCGGTTGTGAAATCATTGGAATCATTTATTAGTGTGTCACCAATCCGACATGGCAAGTAAATAACAGACACGTGTATGGGCAGCGGGCAACCTGCCAACGGACTACAAGTCCCAGCAGGTACGTGGAAGGAAGGATTACACAGAAGTGTCACTTTGGGGTGGATTTGGCCCTATGTGGAAATATCTGATTGGAACAGATCAGCATATGTAATGGATCTATGATCGATCTTCTGAGGTCACATGACCTTACCCAAGATGCCCTTTGCTCCACCCCCATCTATACACAGAATACAGAAATCGTTCCTCCTGGCCGCGTCCCAGCAGCCGACTGATAATTATCGTGAATTACTCCACTTCAAGTCACCAGCACCAGTTACTCCAGTTCAGTCCATAATAGAAGTCACCAGCACCAGTTACTCCAGTTCGGGATTCATTGGCAGATCAGAGACACGGACGACGAGGATGATACATATCGCGGTGCTGCTCCGCCTAGAAGCGTTCTCATTCCCATTGGATCATACGTCCGTGGTCAGCTTGCTCCGGATGAATGCCGTCAGCTTGCCGAGCTGCTCGTCCAGAGCGCTCTGATCGCCTTCGTTGGCGATGATCCAATCAAATGTCACACCGGTGTCCAGGCCGCACTCCGACTCCGCGTCGTCCACCTCTGCCAAGGAAGAGAGATATGTCATGGAGATTTTAGTATTAATCTTAAATACATAATGAGAGTTATCAGGACTCAGGATATACAATATAGAGGAGACAATAGGGTGAGGGGGATATTTTCCTGAGGACGAGCGCAGTGATTGCCTAGAAGAGTTCCGCAAATGCACAAAATCCGAGGAATATTTGCTATTTTCAATGGTTTTACCTTTATTAGTTTCCTACTAACCCCCCCGGGGAAAAATATCATCCAGAGCTGTCCCCGCAGTACCGCTTCTCTGCCTCAAGATGTCCTCAGTCTTCCACGTTAAATGACACCCAGCAACATTCAATGCGGAAGACTGAGGACAGACTGTGAGGAGAGAGGGAGAGAGAGATTTTCTATATACAATGTTACTTTGTATCTCTCCATCTCCCCCTCTGTACAATGTTTATATACAATGTTACTTTGTATCTCTATATCTCCCTCTGTACAATGTTTATATACAATGTTACTTTGTATCTCTATCTCCCCCTCTGTACAATGTTTATATACAATGTTACTTTGTATCTCTCTTTCCTGGCTCACCTCATGTCGGCACAGTACGGGTCAGCTCCTCCCCTTCTGACCCCACAGGACCACCTTAATCAAGCCAATAAAAAGGGAGATCCCCTCCCCCAGTACCTGTTCTTTTTTCCTCGCTCCAGGTCACATTGAACGTATGGATCCTCCCTTCTGCCTTCCCAGCCAGGTTCAGCCTCTCCTGGATTGGTAGACCCCTCGGAGAGTAGTAAATCTCCCATGAGAGCGGTTGCCCGTGGTGCTGGGCCAGGTTCGTAGAGGATTAAATATCCTGCATTTTCTCTGAGCGGGGGAGCTGGTGGAGTCCGGGCTGCGGCATCTTCTGTGCTTCTGAGCATGCGCCGTGTCCTTGTGTCGGGGGGCGGAGCTTTGCTCCTTTCTTTCCACGTAGGTTGCCGGGTGACGGCGGGACGCTCGCGCATGCGCGGTGGAGTTTTAAGAACGCCGGTTTTTCGGCGGCAAATTTAAACGGGTTTTCGTTTCCTTCAGCTGTGCTGTTGGTCTTTGCTACAGTTCTGCTGCAAATTCTTCAGTTTCTTTTTGCCTTCTAGGTCCTGTGCCTTCTCTAGCAGGGTAAGTATGGGCTTCTTGAGGGTTGTGGTTCCTTGATCTGCCCTGTCTTTTTTCTTATGCTGCGTTCTATTTTAAACAGCCTGTTTACCCACCATGAGCTCCCCTCGTCCTACAGATGCACTGAAGCCTGTCGAAAGGTAGGGAGGCGTCGGGGGACCTTAGTAAAAGAGTGCAACTTTGAATATGCTATTATTTGACTGTGTTGTTTGGATTTTACAGAAGTAAAAGTCCTCAGCATAAACGCACAAAGAAACGTAAGGAGAGAAAACACTCTTCCTCTTCGGACTCTGTCCATGAGCACTCTCCAGGAGGCCACAGGCATCGGCAAAGAACGGATCCTGGTGCCTCATCTGTTCAGAGAAAAAACCCGTTCCCTCCGGGATCATGTTGGTCCTGCTCCGCACAGTCCATGTCGGGTAAAATGTTGTGCCGAGAGTGTCTCAGAGAGGTGGCCAGGGACAAGGAAACGGACTCCTTGGAGATTAAATCTTACATCCACCAGGCGATGCAGGATAGCCTACATGATCTGCTTCCTTCAATAGCCTCTTCCTCTCAGCACGCGCCTAGGGCGTCTACATCATCCAGACCTACAGAACTGCCAGGAGAGGGTGAGATCTTGTCAGAGGGATCATCTACGTCAGACGCACAGGGTCTGCATGCCTTTGATTTCAACCTCATTTTACCTTTTATTTCGGCAATCAAAGAGGCCATTGAATGGGAAGGGGTTGATCCCCCTAAGAAGATAGCAAAGTATTTCCCAGGCCTGAAAAAAAAAGGGTCCTACTTTCCCGGTTATGAAGAGGTTAAGGATCTGATTGAGGAAGAATGGGAGCAGCCGGATAGAAAGCTGAATTTTCAGAACCGTTTTTTGAAACTGTATCCCTTAAACGCAGCTGATACAGCTCTTTGGGATAAACCGCCAGTTATTGATGCGGCCTTGCAGCGCTTAGCACGTCATGTGGCGCTTCCACTGGACAACTCAGTGGCCTTTAAGGATGTGATGGACCGGCGGTTGGATGCGGATTTGAAGAGAATTTACGCTACCGCTGGGTGGGCCTTGCGGCCTGCCTTTGACATTGCTCTCTAAAGCAGTGAAGGTATGGGTATCCAATGTGGATACGGCGCTTAAAGCAGGTGTTGCCAACTCGCAGATCCTGCCCGCACTAGAGGAACTATATTTATCGCCGGATTTTTTGGCTGAATCCTCCATAGATCTGGTCCGCCTCTCCTCCAAGTTGATGGGCCATTCGGTCACCGCCAAGAGGGCATTATGGCTGAAACATTGGACCGCGGATTCAGCATCGAAACAGGCGTTGTGTGCCATTCCTTTTAACGGAAAGAGTCTGTTTGGGAAGACACTGGACGACGCGATTAAAAGAGTGACGGGTGGCAAATCAGGCCTACTTCCACAGACCTTTAAGCGCAGGCAGCAGCCCTTTCGGCCCAACCAGGGCTCACAGAGATTTAAGGATGCCCGGACCTATAGGCCAGGCAGGCAGTTTTCCAGACCTCAGTGGAGAGGGGCACAGTCGTCCTTGTTGCGAAACATCAAGGCGAAGGCCGGTCAAGTGCAGAAAACTCCGGATAAACAGTTCTGAAGGTGTGCACACCCAGGAGGTTCCGGTGGGGGCCAGGCTGGAGGCCTTCAAGGAAACCTGGGTGGCAGAAGTACAGGATGTGTGGGTGAAAAATATCGTAACAAGAGGGTATCAGCTGGAATTCAAATTTCTCCCTCCGTCTCATTTTGTGAACACCTGGATTCCACTAGAGCAAGCGAAGCGAAAATTGCTTCTCGATTATGTCGCAGAATGTTGGTGAAAAAGGCTATCGTTCAGGTGCCAAAAGAAGAATGGGGTCGGGGATTTTATTCCCCGATTTTTCTTGTCAAAAAAGCCTCGGGAGGCTTCAGGCCGGTATTGGATTTGAAGAAGCTGAATTTGTTTATTCAAGTGAATTCCTTCATGATGGAATCAGTCCAGAGGATAATTGCAGTGGTCCAAGCCGAAGAGTGGATGATCTCCATCGATTTAGAAGATGCATACCTTCATGTGCCGGTAGCGAAGCAGCATCAGAAGTACCTGCGGTTTGCCGTAACAGGGCAGCATTATCAGTTCCGCGCCCTACCGTTTGGACTGTCCACGGACCTTCTCCAAGATAGTGGTGGCGGTGGTGGCACTTCTTCGGCTTCAGGGAGTAAAAGTGTTCCACTACTTGGACGACATCCTAGCCTCAGTAAGGTCGAAGCAGTCTCTTATTACCCACCGCAGACTCGTGTTGGCCACCTTGCTTCGGTTTGGATGGCTAGTCAACTTCCGGAAAAGCCAGCTTTACCCGGCACAGCGGATGGAATACTTAGGTGTAGTTCTGGACACTTCGCTTGCGAGGGTGTTTCTCCCGGATTGCCGCAAGAGAGAGATTACAGCGTGTGTCAGAGTCGTCAGCCTGCCAGTCTTACAGGCCAGGGACTGCATGGTGCTTCTCGGGATGATGACCTCCTGTATCCCAGTGGTGCCTTGGGCGCGATGGCACATGCGCCAGTTGCAATGTTGCTTCCTGCAGCAATGGAACCGGGTAGCATTGTCTTAAGAGATCTTTCTGCCCTCCACAATGCGGATCAACTTATTCTGGTGGAGGGACTCTCCATGCCTCTCTCGAGGTATGCCGCTGAACATAGGGTCCTGGATCACAATTACCACCGATGCCAGCCTCCAAGGATGGGGAGCGCATTGTCTAGACCATCAGGTGCAGAGTCGCTGGAGAGGCCCAGTGACGCCACAATCAAATTGGTTGGAGTTGAAGGCAGCCTCTTTAGCTCTGTGAGCTTTTCAACCTCTACTGCAACACAGACCAGTCCGACTCATGATGGACAACAAGACAGCGGTGTCATACATTGTGAGGCAAGGGGGGACCAGGAGTTTCCCTCTTCTTTGCCTCTCGGACGAGATTTTTTCATGGGCCGAACAACATGTTCCAGCTCTGTCAGCAACCTACCTGCCCGGAGCGGAAAACATACTGGCAGACCGCTTGAGCAGGATTTTTCCCAGCAACAGCGAGTGGGGGCTGAATGCGAAATACCTGAGACCAGTGTTCCAGAAGTGGGGGACCCCGTTGATCGACCTGATGGCCACAGCGCAGAATGCGCAGGTGCCATATTTTGTCTCGAGACACAGTTGTCACGAGGCAGTGACGCAGGATGTGTTCATCATATGGGACTTCCTGCTGGCTTATCTGTTCCCACCGTTGCCGTTAGAAAATACAGCAAGACCAGGGGACGGTCATTTTGATCCTACCATTCTGGACGAGGAGGCCATGGTTCCCGCTCTTACTACGGATGGCGATGGCCCCCCCATGGTTCTTTCCGGACAGACGGGATCTACTGGTGCAGGAGCACTGGCAGCATCCAAACCCCAAGCGGCTCCATCTAGCAGCATGGTTGCTGAGTCCTCGAGGTGGCATAGTCAAGGACTATCGGCGAAGGTGATAGAGACCTTGATGCGGTCTAGAGGTTCGTCAACTAACGCCACTTATTCCAGGATTTGGAAGAAGTTTTTGGAATATGCAGAGCAGAATAATTTTTCCCCTTTGCAGGCAGCTCTGCCCCGTGTGCTGGGTTTTTTGCAGTCGGCCCTGGATGCGGGCCTAGCCTATAAGTCCTTGAGGGTACAGATTTCAGCCTTATCTGCCTTCATGGGGGTCAAATGGGCAGATGATCCTCTCCTGCGGAGATTCATGAGAGCGGCCCTGAAGTTGCGGCCTCCTAGGAAGGCTCTGTTCCCATCCTGGGACCTGGATTTATTCTTGGCGTATCAGCCTCTATCACAGTGCACCCTGTGGTACCTTACATAGAAGGTACTCTTTCTCATTGCCATCACATCGGCGAAGAGAGTCTCGGAGTTAGCAGCTCTTTCATGTAGGGAGCCGTTTTGTGTGTTATTGGCCGATAAAAGTGGTGTTGCGACCTTCACCTGAGTTCAGGCCGAAAGTGGTCTCTGCATTTCATTCAGATTGGGAAGTAGTCCTCCCGGGTTGTCAGAGCCTGGCCCAATCTTCAAGTTCGGAGTTACTGCCGGCTTTGGACTTAGTCGAACTCTTGACAGAGTATCTTCGTAGAACGGAAGTATTTCGCAAGTCTGATCAACTGTTCATCTTTTCAAGAGGGTCTAGACGAGGGCTTGCTGCACCTCCTAAGGCTTTGTCTATGTGGATTCAGTCTGTCATCAAAGCAGCATATGTGCAGCAGAGGCTTACTCCTCCGACAGAAGTGCACGCTCACTCGACGAGGGGAGTGGCGACGTCCTGGGCTTCATATGCCAGGGTCTCCATAGAGGACATCTGCAAGACAGCGAGGTGGAGCTCGCAGAACACTTTTGCAAGGCACTACCGGTTGGATGTGGCAAACGCCAGATTAACCAGATTTGGAACGGCGGTTCTTTCCGCTGCTTTATCTCAATAAATATTTTCTAATTTTGCAGTATTCAGTTTCTGAGGGTGTTTCCTTTTTATGGTTTTTGGACCCACCCATGGGGGATTTTGCTTGCTATATCCCGTACTGTGCTGACATGAGGTGAGCCAGGAATACGGAAAATTGTTATCATACTTACCGTAATTTTCCTTTCCTGGCTCATCCTCATGTCGGCAGGCATTCCCTTACCTGGTGGACCTGTCGCTCGGCGTGTTATTGAACAGGTATTGGGGGAGGGGATCTCCCTTTTATTGGCTTGATTAAGGTGGTCCTGTGGGGTCAGAGGGGGAGGAGCTGACCCGTACTGTGCCGACATGAGGATGAGCCAGGAAAGGAAAATTACGGTAAGTATGATAACAATTTTCCGTAATCTCCCCTCTGTACAATGTTTATATACAATGTTACTTTGTATCTCTCTATCTTCCCTCTGTATAATGTTTATATACAATGTTACTTTGTATATCTCTATCTTCCCTCTGTATAATGTCTATATACAATGTTACTTTGTATCTCTATCTCCCCCTCTGTACAATGTTTATATACAATGTTACTTGGTATCTCTCTATCTCCCTCTGTACAATGTTTATATACAATGTTACTTTGTATCTCCCTCTGTACAATGTTTATATACAATGTTACTTTGAATCTCTATCTCCCCCTCTGTACAATGTTACTTTGTATCTCTCTATCCCCCTCTGTACAATGTTACTTTGTATCTCTCTATCCCCCTCTGTACAATGTTACTTTGTATCTCTCTATCTCCCTCTATGAACAGGTATTGGGGGAGGGGATCTCCCTTTTATTGGCTTGATTAAGGTGGTCCTGTGGGGTCAGAGGGGGAGGAGCTGACCCGTACTGTGCCGACATGAGGATGAGCCAGGAAAGGAAAATTACGGTAAGTATGATAACAATTTTCCGTAATCTCCCCTCTGTACAATGTTTATATACAATGTTACTTTGAATCTCTATCTCCCCCTCTGTACAATGTTACTTTGTATCTCTCTATCTCCCCCTCTGTACAATGTTACTTTGTATCTCTCTATCTCCCTCTGTACAATGTTTATATACAATGTTACTTTGTATCTCTCTATCTCCCCTCTGTACAATGTTTATATACAATGTTACTTTGTATCTCTATCTCCCTCTGTACAATGTTTATAAACAATGTTACATTGTAACGGTCTGTGCATGATTGCAGGTCCTCACCCCGGGTGTACACCCATCCTCTGGACCTCCGTGTCTCCTCTGAAGCCACCACACGCACCGTCTGGGTCACTACACCGTACGATGACACGAACCACTCCACATCCGACCTCCGCCGCGTGTCACTAATGATCTGCGGGAATAGCAAACTATCAGCATGGTGTAGAAGGTGGCAAACAGTGAAAGAGCTGGGGCCCTTTGTGGGCGGAGTCTATGAAGATTTCAGGTCATGTGGTATTTAGGCAGGTTTTGGGGGAGGGAAATATTTGATATTAGTTAAATCTACTTATAAAAACTTGATGCAGTAAACTGGGATGAGATTGGTTGCTATGGTTACTGCCAGGCTGTGAATTCGTACCCACACGGGCTGGGATACGCCCTCCACGATGAGGCGGCAGAAGAAGCCGGGGTCGGCGTTCCTCTTCTCCTCTCCCCACTGGATCATGGCGGCTCGGTAGGTTTCCTTGTACTCGCTGGCGTCCAGCAGGCGTTCGAAGTCCAGGCCGTGTTCCTGGGGAGAGAGCAACATACAGTAAGAGTGAAGAGTGAAGAGTGATAGAGGGCGCACACAGTGCCGAACACTCACCTGGGCAAACTGCTTCTTCAGCGGGCCAGAAAGTCGCAGGATGGCGCACGTGTCACCGCCGAGACTGGAAGATAATGGGGGAGGGGTCAGAGACATGATAATAGAGGAGGGGTCAGAACCATAATGGGGAAGGGTTAAAGACATAATGGGGGAGAGGTCAGAAGTATAACTTTGTCCCCAGATATAAAGTGTTCCCCTCCTTCTGTGTCCCCCTCAGTCAATGTCCCTGGATATGAAGTGTTCCCTTTATTCTGAGTCCCCCTCAGTGTGTATCTCTGGATATGAAGTGTCCCCCTCATTCTGTGTCCCCAGATATAAAGTGTTCCCCTCATTCTGTGTCCCCCTCAGTCAATGACCCCGGATATGAAGTGTTCCCCTCATTCTGGGCCCCCCTCAGTCTGTATCCCTGGATATAAATTGTTCCCCTCATTCTATGTCCCCAGATATAAAGTGTTCACCTCATTCTGTGTCCCCCTCAGTCAATGTCCCTGGATATGAAGTGTTCCCCTCATTCTGTGTCCCCCTCAGTCTGTATCCCTGGATATAAAGTGTTCCCCTCATTCTGGGTCCCCCTCAGTGTGTATCCCTGGATATAAAGTGTCCCCCTCAGTCTGTGCCCCCGGATATAAAGTGTTCCCCTCATTCTGTGTCCCCAGGATATAAAGTGTTCCCCTCATTCTGTGTCCCCAGATATAAAGTGTTCCCCTCATACTGTGTCCCCCTCAGTCAATGACCCCGGATATGAAGTGTTCACCTCATTCTGGGCCCCCCTCAGTCTGTATCCCTGGATATAAAGTGTTCCCCTCATTCTATGTCCCCAGATATAAAGTGTTCCCCTCATTCTGTGTTCACCTCAGTCAATGTCCCTGGATATGAAGTGTTCCCCTCATTCTGTGTCCCCCTCAGTCTGTATCCCTGGATATAAAGTGTTCCCCTCATTCTGGGTCCCCCTCAGTGTGTATCCCTGGATATAAAGTGTCCCCCTCAGTCTGTGCCCCCGGATATAAAGTGTTCCCCTCATTCTGTGCCCCCGGATATAAAGTGTTCCCCTCATTCTGTGTCCCCAGATATAAAGTGTTCCCCTCATACTGTGTCCCACTCAGTCAATGAACCCAGATATGAAGTGTTCCCCTCATTCTGGGCCCCCCTCAGTCTGTATCCCTGGATATAAAGTGTTCCCCTCATTCTATGTCCCCAGATATAAAGTGTTCCACTCATTCTGTGGTGTTCCCCTCATTCTGTGTCCCCCTTAGTCAATGTCCGCGGATATGAAGTGTTCCCCTCATTCTGTGTCCCCCTCAGTCTGTATCCCCGAATATAAAGTGTTCCCCGTCTGTCAGTGTTCTCAGATGTGACCTGTCCCCCTCAGTCGCTGTCCCCGGGTCAGACCTCTCCTGTAGTCGGTCGGTGATGAAGTCCTTCCCGGATTTTCTCTTTCCGCTGAACAGAAGCACCAACCGGGGTCCCGCCATCTCCACCAGACAGGAACCCCGCCCACTGCTGTATCCACCCCCGCCCCATCACTGCACACAAGCTACTGGGTCCCGCCCTATTACGGTAAGCATACCGCCAGGCCCCGCCCCTAAGCTTAAAAACATTACACGATCCACCCCATCCCCGCCTCTCCTCCTTTGACTTTCAGCCTGTCACGCCCCATAATCCTTTCCCCGCCCACTCTCCCCACTGTCACACCACGTGCCTCCTTCTTCATTGATCCTCCGCGGGTCTGAGAGCAACTACAACCCCCGTGGGGGGCAATTACCCCCAACCCGTGCACAGACCCTCCCCCCCGTGTAATGATTTCCTCCCTCATTGGTGAGAATGGAGCGCACTCTGCTCAGGGTCCTATCCCGAACACAGCAGGTCGGCTCATTGGTCCAGTTCCCCACTCCCAGGGTCAGAGGTTCCTATGAGGATTTGGAGCAATGACCCCTCTGTGTGAGTCACTGATTGATCTGAATTGATTGCAGAATCTCCATTGGAACCAGCGAAGAATCGTGTGATTTGACCTATAAAAATGGCGGAGTGTCTAAAAGTAATGGGGGCAGCAGATGGAACATAGCCAAAAAATCATGGTACTTCCATGTATGGTGGATCACATGCCACCTGGGCCAGGGCAGCTTTTTTGTTGTTGCTCAGTATATTTACAGCTACGGGTGGTGGGCAGTGGTGTTAAGGTATCAGGCAGCCAAGTACGGGGGAGGGGGCCATATAGAGCAAATCAACACTGCCCCTTTAATGCCCCCAACTGCACCTACACTCCCCCGAGGTGTGACCCCCCCATCCCCATATGACAGCACTGAGCACCAGCACAGTCACATGGGAGGGTGGGGAATGAGTCACATGTCCCCCCCCCCCCCTTTTTTGGTACTTCCCGGGATG